GCCCGTGGTCGCAACGAGCGGCGGGAAGTGAAGGCCCGAGGCTAGCAAGGACCGTCGAAGCTAGCGGAGCGTAGCTAACGAAGCTACCGGAGCTCGCGAAGCACCGAGGAGCGCCGGTCCGCGAGTCGAGCTGACAACCGGACGACAAGGAAACCCCGTGGTCGCAACGGTCGGCGGAAAGGGAAGGCCCGAGGCTAGCAAAGCTAGCGGAGCGAACGTGGTCGGATCACGTGAGTAACACGGACAATATTTCGGCGCTATCTAGCCAAATAAGCTAGCATTAGCATAGCGAAAACGAAGCAGTAGCTATCCAGCAGACTGAAGATTTCCAGAAAATAACTAGCTAGCAGATTGAAGGGTGCTAGCATACGAACCCAAGCTAGCTATCAAAGTCAAAGACACCAAGCTATTGGTTAGCAAACGAATCTAGCTAAGCCAAAGCCACCAAGCTGTTGGCTAGAAAACGGAGCTAACCAGCTAGCGATCCAGCTAGCTAGCCAGAATAAGACAGATTGAGCTAAACTCAACCTTAAATTCAGAGAGATGATTAAGGGGGAGGAAACAGTGAAGCATCTGAAAGACCTGCGGACGAGGGCGAAGGTGGCTCTAAGTCGTAAGGTGAACTCAGTAACAAAGACGTTGAACACTATGTTAGAGGAGGAGTTGATGAAAGAATATAGGGAAGTCCACAAGGCCGCCACCAAAGTCACAGAGGCCAACAGTGAATACTTGATGCAAATAATTCTGAACGCTGATAGTGACGAGGACCAAGTACCAGAAGAGCTGAGTGCAGACGTGGAAAAGACGAATGGAGAGACCAGCCAAAGGCTTGAAGAGGTCAGTGAAGTGATTAAAGCAAACCTTTGGACTAGGCATGGAGAAAAGACAGTGATGTTTGCCATCGGGGAAGCTGAAAAGGTCTATGAGGACGCAGAAGCGACACAAATTGACCTGGTGAGCTATGAGAATGACGAAAAGCAGCTTAAGCATTTAGAAATACTCATTAAGGAATTAAAGGAAGTGCACAGCACCTGGAGGGGATGGGCTCCTGTGACTGCTAGAAAAGATGTGGAAGAGATAGTGCGCCAGCTGGAGACAAGGAAAAACGCACTCAAGCGTCAAAAGGAAGCTGAGTTTAACAAAGCACGCGGCGCAGCAGAGTTGGTACGCACCGCAGCAGAGGATGAGCGCACCAAGTTAGCCGAGACCCAACGTGCGAAGCTCGCCGAGATTCAAATTGCTGCAGAGGAAGCACGCATTGCAGCAGAGGATGAGCGCGCCCAGTTCGCCCTGGTTCAGCTAAGGCAAGACCAGGCCCAACGCTCTAAATTGGCCGAGGCTCAGATTGCAGCAGAAGAAGCACGGTTTGACCTCATGAAAGCGCAGCATAAAGCAGTGGAAGAGGCAGGCACGGAACCCAGAGACAACCCGATGGGAGCGATATCAAAGATACGACTCAAGCCGGTAAGCCTTCCCAAGTTCAGTGGCAGTATGAGGGAGTTTCACAGCTGGAAAAAGGACTGGGAATCTTTGCAGAAGCAGGGAGAACCATCCGGGTCGCCTGAAGTCAAGAAGTTCCAGTTTCTGGACAGCATGGAAGAAAAGGTAAAAAATAGGGGTGCACCGAATGGGAAATTCTTGGCCGAAACCGATACCGAAAATAGGAAACAGTTGGCCGAAAACCGAATGCCGAAAGGCCGAAAATGATTAATAGAAATATATATATATAATGTATACATTTTTTACCAATGTTGTTCAGCTACCTGATTATGGAAATAGACATGATTATGGCAAAACTTAACTTAAATAATAATCACTATTATGGGTCCATAAAACATTTATTCAGCACTTTTGAATGCATACAGTACATTTATATATGTCATGTATTATTGCTAAAAAACATTATATCGCAGTCTTAGTGTCGCCAACTCGTTTCTAATATGCAAAGACAACAAATGCGTCTATGATGTATTTTCGATCAGACGAGATCTCTCTCCCCCGTCTGTGTGCGAGGGGGCGGGGCAGTTTACACACACGCAGCTGCTACATGCAGCGGAGCACACTGCGGAGATGGCGGAGAGAACGCGCTCCGAGGTGTGGTTAAACTTTACCTGTCTCGATGTGGAGAATACTTGTTACCATAAGTGCAATAAGAGTTTAGCATGTAAGCACGAGCAATTTGTCTAAACATTTAGCAAAAGTGCACCACATGCAGACGGAGGAATGTACCGGGTTCGACCGTCTTTCTAGCAGCTCTGTAGCCCCATCCACGAGTAACGTTTCCACGTCAGGTGTTATGTATGCTAGCAGCAACACACGGAGTTAACTACATTATACAAACATGGGTTAATGATTAGAGGTAACTGAGTTATTTAGTTTGTTAAAATTTCAGCTATTCTGTTTACAGTCTGTCATCAGATTATTTAATACGATTTGTTAAAGGCTCAGGGCAATCTCGATGACAAAGGTCAATGTTCCCCCCCCCCTGTGAGCCAGCCGCGAGCATGGTCGCCGCGTCTTTATTACGTCATCACAACAACACGTTAGGTTACCAACGTAAGCCTGTTCTGACATTCGGCCGAAAGGGCCTTTTTAACCATTTTCGGCCGATAATTTTCGGTGGCCGAATATTCGGTGCATCCCTAGTAAAAAATGATGTCAAGTTGGCCAGCTACAGTACAGTCGAAGACATGTTCAGAGTATTGGAGAACCGTTATGGAAACAGGACCACGATTGCACTGCAGATCGTCGCAGAACTGGAGAAGATACCAGCTGTGAAAGGAGATTAGCCGAGGAAGGTGATAAACCTCATCCAAGCTGTGGAAAAGGCTTTGGCAGACCTCACAGACCTCGAGAACCCTGGAGCCATCAACCACCCGCTGATGATTAGGTCTATAGAAAGCAAGCTGCCCGACCAGGTGAAGCGAGAGTGGGTCATCTTCAGGGCTCAGCCCGAAAACGGTGTCACCCCAGTCAACCATTTCAATACGCTTCTGAAGTTCCTGAAGGAGCAAGAAGAAATTCTAGAGATCTTGGAACAACTGAAAATAACGGAGACATCTGAGAAAATGGAACAACCGCAAAACAGGTTCGAGAGGAAGTATGCCTACACAAAAGCAACCAGAAGGGACACTCCAGAAGGTGAGTGCGTCGTGTGTGGAGAGGATAAACATAATAACAAGTTATTCTTCTGCAAGAAGTTCAAGGGGTTTGGCTTGGCTGAGAGAAAGACTGCTGCGAAGAAGGTAGGAGCATGCCGCGTTTGTCTTGGATGTCACGATTGGGTAGAAGAGTGCACAGACAGGTTCCTCTGCAACAGGGAAGACTGCCAAGAGGGGACCTCCTCGGACCACCACTACCTCCTCTGTCCAAAATGGGAACAGCTACCAAAGGAGAAGCTTGGAAAAGGCAGCGAGAGGGTAAGGGAGTTAACAGAAGAACAAAAGCTAGCTTTGTTCAAATGTTCCCCAGAGGTGGCAGCAGAGATCAAGAAAGCTTTCAGTAACAGCAACAAGACGTCAGTGACAAGGAGCGCTAGGAAGGATGAAGGTGGACTTCTGGAGAAGAATAGACTGACCGAGCACACTGTCATCATGATGCTGTTGGAAGTCACTGCCAACGCGGGGCAGAAGATCGGAGCTCTGATTGACCTCGCATCAGACACCAACTACATCACTCACGTAGCGGCTGACAGGCTCGGTCTGAGCAGAGAAGAAGTCACTCTGGTCGTAAATGGAGTTGGAGGGATGACCGTGACAGTCAAGACGAAGAGGTACCTCCTGCGAGTAAGAGTCAAGACCCCCAAAGGTACTGTGAGGGCTCACAAGCTGGTTTGTTATGGCCTAGAGGAGATTGCTAAAGTGCATCGGAGCGTCAGACCTGAACAGCTAAAGAGGTTCTTTCCAGAGGTTGCAGCGGACGAACTGAAGAGACCAGACCATGTTGAACTTCTCATCAGTCACAGAGAGGGGAGACTCGCTCCACAAAGACTAAGGATAGTTGGAGACCTCGTCTTATGGGAGGGCCCACTAGGTAGAACCGTGTGCGGAGCACATCCCAGTCTGAGTTTGAGAATATAAAAGTCACTATGCACCAGTCCGAGACGCACTTCGCTCGCTCGATGAGGACAGCTGCTGTGGAGTACAGAGAAGTAGTCGAGAGTCCTGAGATCCTGAGGGAAGAAGAGACCAAGAGTCTGACTCAGGAAGTAAAGGCGGAGACCAGGGATACAACTGCAACAAGGAGAGAAGTTCTCGAGTGGTGGAAGTGGGACAGCATTGGTGCAGCCTGTGAACTCAGTTGTGGTGGGTGTCGCTGCGGGACATGCCAGCCAGGAGGAAAGGAAATGACCCTGGCAGAAGAAAGGGAGCTGGACGTGATTAAAGAGGGGCTGTCCTTCATGGCCAAAGATGAACACTGCCTGACTCCGCACTGGGACACATCTTACCCATGGACCGAGGACCCAGCCTCACTTCCAAACAACAGAAGAGGAGTGGAGGCCACCTTCCTGAAAACAGAGAAGCAGCCCAGTTTCGCGCACATGGTGGAAGATCGCAGGGTCCTGGAGGAGGACAGTTATGTGGACGATATCTTAACGTCCCACAATGACCCAAAGAGACTGGAGGAAATCACAGAGGGGGTAGAAGAGATCCTGAGCGCCGGAGGCTCCTCCCTCAAACCATGGGTCAGGTCAGGCCAAAGTGGGAGGCAGAGGACTGCGGAGCAGGTCCAAGCTGGAGCAGTAGCAGAGCCAGGGTCAGGTTAGTGGAGTCAAAGTAGGGGTGGGCGATATGACGATATATATCGTCGTGACGATATTAGGTCTCCACGATATGCTTTTTCAGAGATATCGTATCTATCGTGATAAAAAAAATAAAAAAACTTGAAAATAAATAAATAAAAATAACTTCAAAAAAAATAAACTGATGTGAAAGACATGCTCTAAAGCTGTCTAGTCAGGATTCAGACAGTATTGCACTTCATTTATTGTCTTGGTTGATTCTGTTGGCTTATATTTTATTTTATTTGCGTGCATATGAAACGCTAACCATTCCCATTGAGATCATTAAAACTGTAATTTGAACGGCGATCAAGCCTGAAGCCACAGAAACGGACACGATCCCCTGTCCGGCTAGGGTTAGGGTTAGCCAACACACTCTCACTCCATAATCGTCCAGGAGCGACGTTTGGTCAGTGTCCGTGGCGTGCAGTTGTGACGCTCCTAGGCTCCTTCAGCTTCATAAAGGGACGCAAATAGCTTTCAACTGATTGCAATGTATTCCCATCTGCGGCGGGATTTGACGCTCATGGAAGCACGGCATTCGTTTGTGTCGGCTGCCCTTAAAGGCAATGTGAGCGTCCATTCTCATTGGATAACGGAGAATTGTACACCCGGAAGTAAGTATTCCCCTTACTGTCGATTGATTTTACAGTGATATCTGCACTACTCATCGACTAAAAAACACCAGATTATCCTTGTTAATTACACAACATTGATTGGTTTAAATTGTGTGCAATGCTTTTGGATTTTCCCCCTTCGATTCGGAGAAACAAATATTTTTTCGGAGTAAAGGATGGCAGAAGACACTACCCAGAATCCCCATTTATCATTTGGACAACACCATGTGCTCTGTTTGACAAACCCTGTGATAGTCCTCAAGCTCTGTGATTGGAGAGTGTGCTCCGAGGGTTACGCCGAACCTCAAACAGCACTTGAAATGGGATGGAACCACGGCAGACTGTCCAAAACTGGATTTGAATGGCTGGGGGAGCGGGAGGGGAAGAGGCTCTCCGTGCACGGCGCAGGGGGCTATGACAGCGGACGGAGAGCCTCTTCCCCTCCCGCTCCCCCAGTCTCACCTACTGATTTTAATTTCACCATATATCAAGCCCGATCGATTTCACAATGTCAGCGCACCTCTGCTTTCGTGTTGGTAGTTCAGTCCGAGTTGTTTGACACGCTAGTGCTAGTGCTACCTCAGAAAGTTAATTGTTATACTGAGAAACTGTGCCTTGAAGCCATATCAAAATGTGGAATTGTTCATTCAGGGATTCATTTCAGAAATAAAACCAGCTTGAAATGCTATTTTGGTCTGTTACTTCTTTTTATTTTAGTTTCTGTTACCTTGTAGGTGCTTGTACTGTTAAGTAACTTGAAAAATAACCATAATAACCGACATGAAAAAATATTGTGATATATATAGTCTATCGTGATACTGCTTGAAAAATATCGTGATAATATATTTTTCAATATCGCCCACCCCTAAGTCAAAGGCAAAGCTAACACCTCTCGACCAAAAGGGAGACGTAGTCAAAGCTGAGATGTGCGGTGCGGTCTTTGCAGCTCGATTAAAAACTTACATCGTAACAAGAGGAGCAACTCCTGAAGACCAGGGAGAGGGCTCAGAGTGGCAGAGGGGACCTGAGTTCCTGGTGAGGCCGCTAGAAGAATGGCCCATGAAGTCGGCCGTGGAGGTGGCAACCGGTGCCAGAGAGAGTGTGGGCAAGCTTCAAAGAAAGGCATTCTCGGTAATACTCACCAGAGCCCAGTCAAACAAAACCCCTATCCATGACGACACCAGTGGAAAGGACGCAGAGGCTGAGGAGTCCCTAGTTAAGGTTGGCGGATCCCCAGAAACCTCCGAAAGGGAAGAAGCTTCAGTCTTGACAGAGAGAAGACCGGAAGGGAAGTTTCGGAGCATTGCTGTTCTGAACCTGGTGAAACCAGAGAGGTTCAGCAGTCTGGCTAGGCTATGTGGAGTGGTCGCATGGGTCCGGCGAGCTGCAGAGAAATGGCTGACTAAAAGAGGCCGAGCGGCGGGTCAAGCAAAGTGGGAGGCAAGAGTCCTGGACAACAGAAAAGTCAAACCTGTGCCTCTGCGGGGGAACCTGGCTTCGGGGTCGTTGAAGATTCCGAAGTGGAGAACTAAGAAGAAGAAACCTCCTCAGACACCACCACCAGAGCAAGGTTATTTAGGTTGGTGGCCTCCTTGGGTCATCCGACCAGGAGGCCAAGTGGGAGGTGTGCTGTAAATTCATGGTTTGTACTGGGTGTATGAGGGTTCAATTAATGGGGTTCAGTTTATGTGAGTGTGACTTTAAATCTGGATGGAGATTCGCGGGGTTTATTGATGTGTATAAATAAATTCCGTTCTCTTAATGTCATTTCGTCCAACGTTGTTGAATTAGAGAAGAGGGGCTTCTAAACGAGATTGTATGCGGGGGTGGAGGTAGTTAAATATTAGATACATATAACTTTGGTGCGTGTAAGAGTGAGTGTTTTTAGCAGAGCCATATTGTGTCCTTGTGATTATGTTGATTATTACCTGTCTGTATAATGTTGCAGCTCAGCTGATTTTGGATTGATGGCAAAGGGAGAGGGACTTAAGTGAGAGTGAAAACACAAGGTAAGTTTAATACTACTGTTTTATATAAGTAAGCATACTAAACATGTATTCTATATAAGTAATCTTGTTAGTAACCTACTGTATGGCAGGTGGAGGGGCAGTGATGTTACAGGTGGAGGAGCAAAACTGCAAACTCACAAGACAGAGAAATCAAAGTTTGTTCTCCAATTTTTTTATTTCATATTTTCTAAAGATGTGGAAATGGCAACAAAAAAAAACTTGAGACCTGTAACCAAGACAACTGTAACAACATGAGTAGAGAGCCACCAAGGTTTTTCAAGTCCCTCTCTTACTCCATTTTGCCAACCCAAACTTCAAGGTACATGACGGGAAACCTTGCTTGTTTTTGTTGTTTGCGCTCCTCTGGCTGGGTGCTGGCAGGTGGAGGGCAGTGATCCCTTCCCTTCTTCCCTCAATCTTTGAGACTAATGTAAGTAGAAGACATAGCACTGTACATTTTCGAACATTTAAAATATTATACCACTTAAAAATAAGAAATATTACTTTTGTTACTAAGAGTTCATACTTATTATACCTGTGTCACCTTTCACACTATAGCTGTGATCATGAGCTATGGGCTTTGTAAATACAGGTCCCGGGGTGAATCGTGGTGCAGGCCCAGGGGCCCTTTTCTTTTTGACCACAGGGCGATGCACGAAGATGGTGGGTATAGCCTCTGCTCTCAGCCTAGTTTTGCCCTTTTTTGTCTTGACAAACTGGTCTGCATCAAAATGTGCCTGCGGAGCGGGCCCGGCGCCACAAGGGGGCAAAAGGGGGCATTGCCCCCTCAGTTGTATTCTTTGCCCCCTCACTTTGAGCATCATTCATCCATCGAAAAGTAAAATAAATGTCACAATTATTAAATAACTTTAAATGATTATTTCCCCCAACACACGTTACTATGTTTAGATCAGATATGTGGGCAGGCAGCATGGGCGGCGCCAGGATTTTTTTGCTGCAGTAGCTTAGCAGTTGCTATATGACAGCACGGCGTTGCTAGTTAATTTTCAAAATAAATAAACAAACAATACCAGTGGGCCAAGCACGAGCCTGTTCATATTGTAGCGTTCACCGCTATTCAAAATCACAGATCACGAGCCTTCAATGTCGAAAACGTTCTCTTTATTTTCTGGTAGGCCTATTGACGGCCACAGCCACGCCGTACAGAACCAATCAATAACGCTCATTATGACTTTTCCCCACACTCGAACACAACTCCTACCGTCTCGTACTCCCTCCACACACACCGGAAAACGCACACACACACCTGGAAGGGGCGGTCTCTCACTAACTCCCACAAACAACATTGCCTAAATAACTTTACAAATGTACTAAACTGTGCACATCTGATAACTGACATAATTATTAACTTGGACACGCTACAATAATATCATTAATATTTACATTAAAACATTCCTTTGACACTTATAACATTACTTTGCAAGGTAAGCACAACCAACATAAGTTGATAAAAGCAGAATTTGAACACTGTTTCTGTGCTCCTACAATATTTTTGTATAATAGGCGTGTGGTGCAGTGGGTTGAGTGTTGGCAGGGCCGGACTGGGACAATATGTCAGGCCGGGAATTATATACCCAGCCAGGCCGCTACCAGTTTTCTTTTGTGCCATTTTCCTGGATTTATTTGTCAATATTTACAGCGTTGCTGCCCGTAGTGATAGCCCTAAACTTTAAATCTACTACCCCAGAATAAACATATGGACATGGGTTACTATTTTTTTTTAAATGTGCAAATCTATTTAGGAACCTATCCATGTGAACATATTTGGACCTCAAATCCTCTAGGGGGGTCCGGGGCATGCCCCGAAGCAAGTAAAATGCATCAATCTGGTGCACTTTGAGGGGGAACTAAAGAGACTACACCCATATGAAACCGAACTGTATACATTTAAATAATCATAAAATCATAAAAACATGGCCATAACCAATAACATACCATATCCAATATGAAAAAACATTGAAACTTGTTTATTTATTTGTTTTTGGTTCATTTATAGTTGTGAGTGTGTCTATGCTCCTGAACCAGCCTCACCCGTCTCCCCCCTCTCCCCCTGCTCCTATTTAAGGCAACAGCAAAGACTAGTTTTAGCTCTCAACAAGTTTTTAAAGTTTACCTTACCTTTTTTCACCTAGTTAAAACATTTTTTTTATTATTCATGCATATTTTACTCATCACTCCCCCTTCAAATGGAAATATGTGTTTACATAAATGGTGACCAAACCGTTTGAGACCCACTGGGATAACTTAGACTAAGTTAACTATCTAAACACTCAGAGAGTCCTTTTCCTCACCAGGGGCCTCATTTATAACGCCGTGCGTAGGATTCACGTGGGAAGTTTGCTTACGTAGTAGAAATCCAAAAAATAGGTACAGAAATTTCCCGACATTTTCCGATTCACCAAACATTGCGCACCGGCGAGGAAAGTGCGTACAGCACTTCCTACGCCGGTTTCCCTTTATAAATCACAACCGACTCGAAATGCGGTGCAGCTTTTGCGGGCTTCACGTAACGCCCATATTTGCCTATAAATAGTCAAAGAAACGCCCATTCATTCATTCTGACTGACTTTATGAAGAAGATCGCAGGAAATGACGACAGAACAGCTAAAAAAGACATCTCACACCGTGTCAGATTTTGGTTATTTTGGGGAGGTCGAGATAAATAATATTGTTTGGTGGATGCAGTTTGAACCAGAGTAGCAGCATGGAGGTCGGATCGTCACCAAAATAAATAAATAAATGGCCCGAAAAAGGTTAATGACAAAATAAATACACATAGCCTTCCTCAGGAAGTGTGTTTGTACCGGGGACAGGAGACACCCCCTTGATGAGAAACTGTAAGAAATGATCGGGGAATCCCTCCGGAGTGGAGTCATGACGACTGGATCTGAATTATGTTTTTATATTTGGTGGTTTGTGTTCCAGCTGTCGATCAGCTGTGCGCAGCGTCTCCACTGCAGACCACTGAACTTACCTTGACACATATGGTGTTCTTAGCTTCCATACCTCCAGTGTTTTACGAGTGACTTATCAAGTCTTGGCAAACGGCATATAAAACACGATTAAACATGATAGTAAAACCATGCTCGTATCTACAACCTATATAAATGCAAAACGGCGTCAGTTTAGACGTAATGCTGTCCTTCTGCTTACCGCATCATTTGAGAAAACATTTCATAACATTAACACAACGTATTCGAGGTGGTTTTCAATAACATATCCGTATTTATTTATTTCTCCAAGTTATGTTTTTGTGTGCACTGAGGAGTCGCAAACAGGCGTTTGTTTAATCATTTTAAGATTGGCTTTAATCAATGTTTGAAAATGAATTATTCATATATGATAAATGAGAGGTAACATTTTATTTATGGTATTATTTCCACACATTTCTCTCCATTCTTCCTTCTGCCAACGGTGTCGCAGTTTCTCGTCTCTCCCGTTTTTGTGCTTAGTGCGTACTCATGGGTTAGAGTTTGCGTGGAGGACCGCACATTTTCCCGTCAAGTTAGTATTTTATAAATCGCAAACATTGCGTAGAAACTGGCGTACGCCATCTTTTGAGCGTATATCCCTTTATAAATGAGGCCCCTGAGCTGTAGTTATCAGTCTCTCAGTCTGACAGGAGAGGACTCTCCTAGACCTTGTTGACAGCTCATTATATCCGTTAGCGCCGCTAGCTAGCACCAGATACTAACAACAACAATACACGTAACCGGTGCGCGCGCTTTCTCTCTCGCTCGCTCGCGCCCGCCACACATACACACCCTCCCGAGCTTGAATGACACACAGAGACCAATCGAGGGCTTTAGTGTATATGATCTGTATGAAAGTGTTCATGTCGGCAGGCCACATCATGTACAGCCAGTCACCCTCTGTGAGGCAGAGTCAGACCCACATTTGCGAAGCGTTGCGTTCACAATACATACATAAAAAAAAAAAAATCGCCAGGCCAGCAGGCCACTTAACAGGCCAGGCCATCGGGAAACCTCCCGGTCCTCCCGATGGCCAGTCCGGGCCTGAGTGTTGGTGTTCAGATCAAGGGGTCACAGGTTCAAACCCCACTGCAGTCAGCATGTCGTTGTGTCCCTCGGCAAAACACTTCACCCCAAATGGCTCCTGTGGGGATTTCCCACAGTATTGAGTATGTAAGTCGCTTTGGATAAAAGCGTTTAACAAGTGACATGTAATGTATACACCATTACACCCTAAGCATACAACACAATTGCGATCGTTCACTGTTTCAACTGGCATGCTGTGGCATTTAACCACACCACAAACAGACAGACACACACACACACACACGGATGTCCGGCTCCATTGGAGATCGCGGTCGTTTACGCTGACTTTAGTGATGTGTCGGTCGCGAACGAGCCGGCTCAAAGAGCCGGCTCTTTTAAGTGAACGACGGGAGCCAGCTCTCGCCCGCGAACGAGCCATTTTTGCGGAGGGATCTAGATCGGCATGAAGGCACATTATGCAATGTGCACGACATTATCACGCTTATTACATGGCCACATTCTCAACAAAGTAACGACATGACTCCCAATATTAATGGAAATGCTTTTATGGATTTAGAAAATGATTTTATTGATTTAAAAAATAGTTTTAAGTATTGATTTAAATTGACATGCATCCGCTAAGAAAAGTAGTCCGTTGTTACTGTTACTTTGAACTAACGTAGTAACGGCAGGAATCTGCTTCAATAGTGTTTTTGAGGAGCTTTTTGATTACAGATTTGAAAACATTGTTGCTTGCTTTAAAAGTAGAACAATTCATTATGTCAAACCTTGGAAAGTATCTAGATATCCCTGCCCTAATGCCAAAGTAACTGGCAACTGAATATGTGTCGCCAATTGATGTCTATGTCTGGACCGCTGCGTAAAAAGGAGGGTTTCTGACCCATTACTTCTCTTCTTGCTTCTATAAGAATCAAACACGGAGGACAGAGATCTCTTTTTCTCCCCCTCT